GAGCCAATTCCCTAGCCAGTGGATTGTGGTGGACCCGAGGCCACAGTTGGCTAGTTTTGCCCAGAGGTGATCATGGGATACCAGATCAAAGGCTTTTTTTGAAGTCAAGATATATGACATCAATCTATTCTTCCTTGTCCAGGTGATAGGTCACCTGGTCATAAAAGGAAATAAGGTTGGAAAAGCAAGATCTACCCACAACAATCCCTCAGGATGTTGCTGTTGGCCCGTCTGATGAGAATGGCTTCTTTAATAATCTTTTCTAAGACCTTCCCCGGGTTATTCACGAGGTCAACACTGATGGAGGGCAGGGAATCTCCATCACCCATTCCTCCTGTAATGGGCAGGGGCATCCTGTGGGACTGATGAAAGACCGACACAAAGTACCCATTTAATAGGTTGGCTTTTTCCTGGGCGTTGGTCATCAGTTGTCCCTTCTGGTTTAGCAGGGATCCAATGTTGCCCTTGCTTTTCCTCCGGCTTGCTACATATCTAAAAAAGGACTTTTTATTGTCCTTGATACTTGTAGCTAGTTGGAGTTCTGTTACAGCCTTGGCTTTCCTGGTTCACTCCCTGCAGGACCGGACCAGTGCAGAATATTCCTCCTTGGAGGTGGATCCGATCTTCTATCCTTTGTAGGCCTTTCTTTTTAGCTGCAGGAAGTCTGCTAGTTCCCTGGAGAGCCAAGGGGACTGATGTGCCTTTTTGCTGCCTTTCTTCTGATAAGGAATAGCCTTAGCTTATACATTGAGGATCACTCCATTAAGGAGCAACCACTGTTCCTGAACTCCCCTCCCCTCGGGGTCGTGGTCCCTTAGGGCTTCACCAACAAGCCTCCTGAGCTTGTCGAAGTCAGCTTTCCTGAAGTCAAGGACTTCTGTATTGCTGACTGACTTATCAGTTTTGTGGTGGATGGTGAAGGTGATCAGCTCATAGTTGCTGTCACACAGCTTCCCATTGATCATTAGGTCACTGATTAGGTCATCCCCAGTTGCCAGTACCAGGTCAAGCAGCGCTTTACCTCTCATTGGCCCATAGACCTCTTGTGTCAGATAGAGGTCATCCATACACGAGAGGAAGCTTTGCAACTGCTCAGATTTAGCCGAGCGTTCTTTCCACAAGATGTCCAGGTAGTTGAAGTCTCCCATGACAACCATGGATCTGGAGCATGCGGCCTCAGCCAAATCCCTGGTGAACTCCTGGTCAAGCTCTTGACTTTGGGGGGGGGGTCTATAGTAGACTCCCACCATTGTGTCCCCTGTGCTGTGTTCCCCATGGATTTTAACCCAGAGGGTCTCCAGCCATCCACCCTGGTCACCAATATCAGTTTGCAGGGATGCATAGCTCTCCTTAACATAGAGAGCTGTGCCCCCGCCCCTTTTGGCTATACAGGGTATAGCTATCTATGCCTGTGGTCCAGTCATGGTTGGAATCCCACCAGGTCTCCATTATCCCTGTGACATTGTAATTATTTGCGTTAAGCAGGAGGACAAGTTCCTCCTGTTTATTCCCCAAGCTCCTGGCATTTGTGTACAGGTAGGCAAATTAATGCTCCAGGGTGTATTTTGGTTTTTATTTATTAGTTTTAATAAGCATTCTATTAATATTTTAAATGGATAAGTGTATTAAGGAAATTGTGACAGATTACAATGTACTACATCCAGTGAAGCACTGTTTCAAAGCATCTCATAATTCAGTGTTTCATCAAGTTGCTTATTAATTGAGTTAATATGTGCAATTATTATTATCTGAATAATGAGTTAGTTTGAAGATGTATGTGCATTCAATGGGTTGCTGTTTTACAGGAGATTGTCAGGAAGCACCGTGCTACATTAGTTATGTTAATGTTATGGAACTTCTTTCCCATTGCCTTCTATAGGGCAGATCCTCACCTACTTCACGGAGGTTCCAGCCCAAGGAAAGGTGGATGTTTTTTATGTTGAAAATTTATTATAGAGACTCATGCTGCTGGCAAATCAGGAAATGGGTAGTATGACAATCTGCTACCCTACATTTAGCTGTGTATTTGGATCCCAACTGCCAACGCAGACCTGAATAAAATATATAAGCCTTAGGATGGCCTAACTTGGTATAGAAGGATTAATCATGGATACAGCAGCCTCAAGATAGGATGGAGCAAATATGACTGTTAAGGTATCTTTGTGTGACTTTCTTTGGAATGGGCTCTTGATGGTAGCTGAAGCACTGACTTGACATTGTGAGCTGTAGGGAATTGACTCCAAAGCATGTTGTATGGTATCTGGTAATTTCTAGTTGGATGGTATGTCAGAAGACAGTGAGTTTCTGGCTTTTGGGAAGTATTTTGCATTTGAATACTTTGAGACATTTGTCATGATTACTACCCTTTGCTGCCAGTTTCTGTTCTGTCATGGTAGGCAATGTGGAATGTATTATAATACAGGTATAGAAGGGACAAGGGGAAAGAATGACTGTTGAGGGATAGAAGGAAAAGAAATGATATCCAGGGGTGGTAAGGGGGCATTTGGATGAGAAGAATACCTTATTTCAGTACCGAAACAGTTAAAAATCAAGAGTTAATAAATATGAAACATGAATAAGCAGTCAGTAAACTAATAATTTAGTATCTCTGTGTAGAATCTTGAATCCTGTTGTTTTCAATCAGTTTTATTTTTTTTCTTATGATACTATCAGTTGTTCTAAATTTAGGACACTTTCTTATTATGTTACCACTTCTTCACTTTGCTGCTCTGTCAAGTTTAACATTATTTACAAAGACTTTAATGTAAACTCTGTTATCTCCAACTGATACTCGTCTAAAGAAGTATTTGTCTATTTTTCACAGTGGGACTGTTGAGTTAATGCACTGTGCTTACATCAGCTAGCACTCCAGATTGTGTAATAACTATATTAGTTTTGAGCTTAATGATTGTTTTAGATTGTTTTGTATGATTCATGATTCACTTTTAATTTTCTTTCACAATAACAACTCCAGTTTTAATAAAAGATGATTGACAAGTGGCATTACTTATTTCATAATACCAACTAGTTTTCTATGTTTTCATTTTTCAGAATGCTGCTTGATCAGATTTAGTTTGTCTTGTGTGAAATGTTGAGACCAGAAGAGCTGAGCCTTTTTTAGTATAACGAATCTCTACTGGATATATGGAATCCATCAAGGAAAAGGAATTGATTGTCATTGATTGTCATATTTTCAAATATTCCTGATATAATTCTAAGTCATATTTGAAGTGAACTGTAACCAATGGGTCCAGAAACAGCTCCTGAGCTTTGCCAGAATGCACAGATTGAGTCCTTAGAGCAACTAAGCCATACTCTTCAGGTATCATTCTAAAAAATCTAATTCCTTTAGTAACTCTTGATTTGAAACCGCTAAAAATGCTCAAGCCAAAATTAGCGTCTTTCAAAATTTAATATGTTGAGTTATATTTTCTCAAAATATTAAAATGACATGCATACAGAAGTGTACCTTTTAAAAAAAAAAAAAAGGCTATTTCTAGTATATCCTTGAGTGATTCACTAACACACTCTACTCATATAATGCACTGGTTTTAATATTTATAGAATATATAATAGAAATGAATGCTTCACAAGTTATCAGTTTTCCAGGTCCCAAGTATTGCATTTTATTTTTATTCCTGATTTCAAAACTTACTCTGCTGTGTGAAGGACTGAAGACACTCAAACTCTGAGCATTCTCTCTTGCATCTGATTTATTATACTTTTAATGTTAGGTGGGTTAATTAGGATTGCTGGGCAATGTCTTCTTCAGGAGTCAACCCACTCAGAGCAGTTTGGCGTGTTTGTATGTGTTGCTGCTTGCTGCATGTAATTTGCTGTGGTGCTCTTTCTGTCTTTAAACAAAAGTCTGAGTACCAGTATTTGCATAAAGGGACCTATATGCTGGGTTTGTTTGAGGGAGGAAACTGAATGCTCCAGCATATGCATAGTATGTGAGGAGCAACACAGTCATTTTATGACTGATATTCCATCTTATTGTTTTCAGATGTGGCTTCAACTCTTTTAAGTTCCTGGAATAGGGGACTCCTATCCCCATTAGTGGAGAGAAGAGTGCAAAGCAGGATAGGAAGATCAGAGCCAGCACACTTACAGAAAATCTGGCTGCAAGAGGTAGCAAGGTGAGTAACCTGGTTAAACTGAGCTGCAGGACATGGACTGCAGGTAGCAGATTGCAGGGTGGTTGATTAAGGAGTCATCAGCAGCTGAGCCCTCTTGACAGAGAGCTGTGTCAGGTGATTGGAGGGGGCAGGACTTAGGTACATATAAACGAAGCCTTTGGCCTTGGGCAGATAGTTTATACCTGCAAGCTGATGAGAGAGGAACTACGGATAGTGCTGTTTGCCAGAAAACAAGGGGGTTACTGGGAGGCAGGGTGGGGGAGAAGCCAGCTCTGTAGGGTAGAGCAGCAGCTGTTAGATATTCAAGGTGGAATTTGTGTATGAGTTGTAGCTGAGGGTTTATGCTTTGTGTTATGGTTGAGCTTTTTTTTGCGGGGGGGAGGAGGTCTTATGCTCTGACCAGAGGTTTGGATTGTGGTTATGAGGGTGGTGTGGAGGCCAGAGTGGGGGGTAGGGATGCTAAAGCTTGAGACCCAGGAACTGAGGTCTGGGGCACTGAGTTATGGCTCAAGTCCTCAGTCAGAGGAAAGGAAAGGGTAGACGCCTGAAAAAGGGTTTGAGGCTTGAGGGGCACAGTTGGTGGCTGGGCTAGGAGACCGCATGGAATTGCAGGTGACACCTGTGAGGCATGGGTATGGGTATGGGGACTTAAAAGGAAGCATTCCTAGAGAAGGAGAGAGACAGGATTGAGATTGGGGTGAAAAACCCCTGAAGACTGAGTTTCTGGTTGGAGAAGCCCCAATGATGGAGCAAAAGAGGAGGTCCCTGGAAGACCTAATGGGCCTCCAAAAGTAGTATCTCCAGTGTATCTTTGTTAACACCAAAGACATGGCAGGTGGGAGACAGGAGGTGAGGGAGACTGGAGAGAGCATATCTAGTGAGTCTGACCACCAGGGGTGTCAGATGCCAGGGTTGGACCCCCTGAGCTTGCTACAGTACCAGCCCAGGATTCTGTGTCAATAAATCCATGTTGCCTATGGACTCGTTGACTATGTCCTTATTATTCCTACCATCCACTCAGAGCTTCCGAAGCACATTTTTCTGTGGTGGGGAAGTGCCAGAATTTAATTTTTTTGGATCGTTGTGTTATTAAGAAAACTGGCAAGCCAAAATTTGTTAAAATGATTACTCACAATTTACTTGGTAGATATGGGCTCTAATGATTAACAGGCAAATTGACTTGAAATGTCAATTAAACAAAAAAAGATAAAATACAGTAAAAGCACAAATATATTAAATTTGTGTGTTGGCAAAGGCTCAATGTGCCTTACAATAAGAACACAGAATAACTTAAAAACAGAGTGGGAAGAGAACAAAAGCAACTTCAAAGGGAACTAGAATATCAAGAAAAGAGAGACTTCCTAAAGCACCCCTCTTCCAAAATTTGTTTTCTGGCAAGCATTTCTGAAAAGGTTTTGCAGCAGTTCCAAAAGGTGTCTAGGCTTGGGCTTTGCTGAGTCTCAGTTGGGAGGAAATTCCAGAGCTGCAGAGCAAGTGCAGAGAATGGCCTCCCACTTATTTGCCAAAAGGACTCGGCAAACCGATGGTACTTTTGGAGCTTTATCTTGGCTGGTCTTAGGGATTGTGTTGGGGCCAAAGGGGTAAGGAAGTCCCTTAGGTAAATAGGACCCAGATTGTGTAGGTCCTTACAGATCAAAACCAGCACCTTTAACTGTACCTGGTAAGCTACTAGTGCAGACTCTGGAGCATGAGTTTCTGTTCCTTGTGACCCACCCACATCAGAAGATGAGCCCCACTGTTCTGTGTTTTGCCAGATGGCTTTCAAGGTCAGGCCAATATAGATCCCATTGCAGTAGTCTAGTCCTGAGGTTACAAAGTAATGGATGACAGTGGCCAGATCAGAGCCTGGAAAAGGTCTGAAGTGTTCTAACCAGACAAAGTTGGTGAAAGTTGCTTGTAGGTGACAAATTCATCACAGCAGCTCAATGGTTGACATGCATGCCAGTTTATTTATATATTATATATTCAGGGCTTAAATTAGGTCAGGCCACAACAGTTTTGTGGACTAACCTTTTCAGTCACAGTTTAGTTACCCATCTAGCTGGAGATCCTGGGCTGATGGGGGAGATGGAGCTGGGCCTGGAGCAGGTGCAGGAAAGGGGACTTGTCTACTGCAGACTCTGCAAGGGACCTAGGCATCAGGGCCACAGGAAAGTGGAGCCTCTGGCTTGTCTCCCAATTCCAGCCTTAGCAGCTCAAGCTGGGAGTAGCTATGGTTTGGGTCAAGGTGAAGTGGGGAGTGAAAGGAACCAAGGGGTTGCCATCACCTTTAAAGTGCTGTCTCCATCTGTGGCACACCCCTTTTCAAAATCCTAGATCTACCCAGGTGCTAGACTTGTTTTGAAAACTCTAATGGTCAGAAAGTACTGTGCATACAAAGCATGGGAGTGTTATGTTATGTTTCTCCAAAGCACTTGCAAATAAATTACTCTAGCCACAACTGTGAGGAAAATGTGCTGTCAAACTGATAGGCACAGAATGTATTGTAAACATTAATTAAAACTATATACATGTATCGGCATTAGCAGGGGAAACAGAAAATAACTTTAGATTCACAGAAGCAGATTCAGCACATTCACATATCTCTCAGTGTACCTCTCACCCTTCCACTCAGCACCCACTAAGTGTGAGAACTATACCTGTCCTTTAGGACCATTTTGTGAGACCTTTCCTTTGAGACGTAGTGGTCTTAAAGAAAGAAACTCCTAGGAGGACTCAGCCAGAAACTGAAGTTGACAGTGCAGATGCAGGAGCAGCTTAAGCAGAAACTAATTGTCTACAGTTTTGACTCTTCTGTGTGTGCATGTCTAAGCATTCATTAATGTGCCTTTGCTACTGCACATTAAGTTTCGTACCTCTAATATAAGGTACTACATAAAGGCACATTAGCCTGCACTAATGCATAGTAGCAAAGATGAATGGGCTTTTTTGTGATGCTTAATGCACAGTAGACTAATTCTGCTGTGCATTAGCATGGTTTTTGCCGTGACACATTAATGCATAGTAAGTAGAAAAGGCATCTTGTGTAGATGTGTTCTGTGACATGTACTGACTGCCTGTTTGACCCAAATCCCAACTTGTCTCCTGTCTCACCCTTTTTCTTCTCAGCTTCTTTCTAGATCAAACCATTCATTGTAGTTTCCTCCCCTAATTCTTCTTTCCTGCTTGTCTCTTCTTCTTTTGTTATTCCATTTAGCTAATACTCTCTCCTCATAGAACTAACAGTTGCTACTGTTCTGCTATTCACATTTCTTCTTTAGGCCTTTGTTTTAGCTCTTTGTCTCTTTTGTTTATTTATATTGTTAAGGTTTCAGGCCAAAGACGGTTTACTCTTCTGTGCTTCATACAGTGGAGCTCCAATCTTGGCTGTTCTCTCAGAATCAATGTAGTAAATGTTATTAATATTAAAACTGAATATTTCCAAGGGACCATCTGCCAGATAACATCTGGCAGAGTGGACAGGTGCTCCCATCCCACCTATCTTGCCTTGGCATGAACACAAGACCAAGAGCATGATGGCCTAGGGACTGTTTATAATGACTTAATGCCAACTATAAATAGCATTATAATGCTAATTATAAATGTCAAGCAGAACAGTGGCTCAATGAAGCATGCTGGGCCCATAACCCAGAGGTCAGTTCAGGGGCGGGCAATTATTTTGAGTGGAGGGCCGCTTACTGAGTTTTGGCAAGCCATTGAGGACCACATGACAGGCAGCCAGGGGCAGATAAATATTAAATTTTCTAAATTTTTTAGGGGCCCCACCGGCTGGATAGAATGGCCTGGTGGGCCACATCTGGCCCATGGGCTGCATTTTGCCCACCCTTGGTTCAATTAATCAAAACCATCCTCTGCTAGTTACATTTGTCCTGCTATGGATTGGGGGTTGGACTAGATGACCTCCTGAGGTCCCATCCAACCCTGATTGTTTATGCATTAGGAATCTTTCTCATGCCTGGGACAAGTTCTAGCTACAGAAAATACTTGGCCCTTTTTAATTTTCTGAAAACTGCAAAGGAGATGGATTGACTGGAGAATCTAGTCCTGTAGCTATATGCATAAATCCAGATAACAAACTGAATTTTATGCAAAAAGTTTAGTAGTATTAAATAAGAAGTCAGAAAAATGTATGAAACAAATAACTTCATGGTGATGAGAAACTAGATTAGGGGAAGATGATAAATATGACTGAATAACTCCTCATGAGAAAAATACTGCATAAATACACTATTAAGCTCTAGGGAAATAGGAGATATGCTAAGATGAAAGACATCAAAATATTATTTGCAGAGTAGAGCAATAGAATAAGTACAGGACAGATGGCCTTATTCTCATTGGTTTTCAGCTGTCTCAGGAACTGCTGATACCAAAGTAATAGAGTTGCTCAGTACCTTTAAAAATAAGGACAAGAGAATATGGAAGGTAGGGTTTGGTTTTCAGAACATCAAAAAATCTGTTGTGCAATGGCTAGTTAGATGCTCTGTTGGCTGTTTGCTTGCAAAATGCCTGATGTGTACCAAGATGCAATATCCTAGGTTTCTGGCACTTAGAAGTATAGGCCATAAAATAACACTGCATTCAAGTATGTTAGATCAGTATTCTCCTGTGGTACAACACGACAATGACAAGTGAAAGTATACTGCATATATTAACTAAAATAAAATAACAAAATTAAACATTCAGGAATAGGTTGAATTGAACTGAGTAAAGCTGATAGCATCACAACTGACAGTTAAAGGAGGAGAGGGCTCAGAGGAAAAAAGCCATAAAACAGACTAAAATATATTTGAGTCATGATGCCTTGTTCACTTTTGTGTTTAATTTTGGACTAGTATTGCAGTCTTGTCCTGGGTCAATAAAAATGAGTGTACATGGCTTATTTTATCACTAAGCTATCACTTTCAGATTTATACACAGTATACCTAGTGTAAGACTTTGCAATTAAAATGCATGAATGTATATCACTGCAGAAGAAAAGA